CCTCTGAAATAATGAAACTTGCTTCTGTAGGCAGAGTGAAATGAAAAGGAGTGTTTCAAAATGAGTCATGGTGTATTACTGTCAGGCCCCTGCAGGGGGAGCATTTGGTGCTGGTGAGAGCAGAGGAGGCCACAGGTACTACGGCTTGATCTTGCTGGTGAAGGCTATGTTAACCAGTTTGATGTAAGCACTCCAAATTGTATATAAAATCAGCACATTGTACCCCATAAATGCATTAATGTACACAGTTATGATTTATTTTATTTATTTATTTTTTGGAGACAGAGCCTCAAGCTGTCGCCCTGGGTAGAGTGCTGTAGCATCACAGTTCACAGCAACCTCCAACTCCTGGACTCAGGTGATTCTCCTGCCTCTGCCTCCCAAGTAGCTGGGACTACAGGCACCTGCCACAATGCCCGGCTATTTTTTGGTTGCAGCCGTCATTGTTGTTTGGCAGGTCCAGGCTGGATTCAAATCTCCCAGCTCAGGTGTATGTGGCTGACGCCTTAGCTGCTTGAGCCACAGGCACCAGGCCAACAGAGTTATGATTTAATAAAAAATATTTATTAAAAAAATAAAGAATCTCACCTGAGTGGAAGGAGATGAAATATTCCAGAATATTTCAATGTCTGAGTTGGATGTGACATTCAGAAGCAGGAGTCCTCAAACTTTTTAAACAGGGGGACAGTTCACTGTCCCTCAGACCGTTTGAGGGCCAGACTGCGGGCCCTGGGACGAGTTGGCTGCTAAGCAGGACAGGCAGCGGCAGTAAAAACATCCAGTGGGCAGGATAAATGTCCTAGGCCGGCTGCATGTGGCCCGTGGGCCGTAGTTTGAGGATGCCTGCTCAGACGTGTCCATTTTTGTTCTTCCTAACAGTTGTATTTAATTTGTGATGCCCTATCTATCAGTGCCTTCTGTGAGGACACTGCTGGTCTTTGGCAGATTCATTTTACTGTCTCCTCCCAGAAAGTCCTAAGTCTTCCTCATGATAACATTTGTAAAAACATCTGGTTTGCTCTTAGATTCAATGGAAGCCACATCACCACTTCTCTTTCAGGAGGAGAAGATGGAAGGAATTATTTTTGCTGCTATAATTAGTCGATTTGTCAGCTATGACTCAATGTGAGGCTCTCAGCCAACAAGGCAACAGAAACCCAAATTAAGAATCCCCTTACCCCCGCCAATGACTGGAGTGGTACATCTTAGAAGAAGGATATATATAGCCTTTGGTCTAAAACCCATAAAAGCCAGGGATTTTTAGATCTCAAACCCAGCAGGATGAAGACTTACTTTGGTCTGCAGAACCTCTTAATCTGGATCAAACTGAAAATGAATATCTCAATCTCTCACTATACACATGTAAAGAGCTAATATGAGTTGAAGAGGCAAGAGGGATAGAAGGTGAAACAACAACTGGGGAAATATACTTTAGAAAGTATTAAACATTTGGAACAGTGATCCCGGAACGACTTGTGTAAAATGCCCCATCTTTGGCCTTGAAACTCACGGCTCTGGGTCTAGCTGTCCTTACTTTGCCAGCCCTCTACTGCTGCAGGGGAGATGAGCCCTGGATTCATTCTTTCATTGTGTACTGGACAGAGGCCACTTATGCCTCACGGTTCCCAGTGAGTAGAGTAGGTCAAGGGCTAGACCAAGTCTAGATCAAGGGCTAGATCTCAGGGACCCTTGGATAATCACGCCACACAGGGCAGGGGGATTCTTAGCCCTGGGAGTGTCAGAATGCTTCCTTCCCCGGGGACACCCACACTTGCTATACAGTTGCTAGGACAGCACTGTGTTCTAAGGCTTGAGCTAATGCATTTCCCCAAGAAATGTTACAAAAGTCACAATAAGCAGAGGTATAAAGCCTCAGGCATTTGTTCAGGCTTTGCAGTCAGCTCTATGCTGTCAGGATTTCCAAATGCTTGCTGCTTTAGAACATTTCTGCTATGAACTATGGGAAGTCCATTTTTCAGAGCCCTAAATGTGAAAGGAAAAGTTGAATTGGATATCATTTGCACCAGTCATCCCAAGTTTACGCGAGAGGATGATGACGTCATTTTCATGGAACTTGATTGGGGATGAGCCTCTCTGTCCCCTGCTTGAACACTGAATCAAGGTAATGAAAGAGACCTGCAAAGGGCCATGAGACAGGTGTGGGCAAAATCAAGAGAAGAAAATGAAGAGACTGTTGAACAACTCTTCTCATGATGTCTGCCCTCACAGTTCTGAGTGTCTCAGTCACTGTTTGTAAAAATATCCTCTTTATTATATCAGAGCCTGGAGAGGAGAAGGAATTCTAACTCTTTATCCAAGAATTCCCCTAAAACAGCAGGGGCCACCAGAAGAACTAAAACCAGAAATAGTTCCATGACCCTGAGGAACAGGACAGGGCTGGGAGTTGGCCCTCCCAAGTGATGTTGGACTAAAAGGGCAATTACATACATCTGCTTAGACAGGCCACATTGTTATCTGATAAGGACAGTCCCCCTCACTCTGTGCTGACCCCAGCAGGTGGCTGGACCTCAGATACTCTCTCCTCAGGAAACAGGCCATGCAGAGGCCCAGTGAAACACTGAGGTCCCGTGGCTGGAGGGCAGAGCTAGGACACCCGAGGTCCTCTAGCTCTCAGTCAGCCCCTGGAGTTCTCCATACCTATCTGTCTAGCCTCCCAACCACTAGCCTGTGGCTTTCAGCAATTTCCAACTTAAGAGAGCATTTGGCTTCTGGTGGCTGGGGTCCTTACTGGCCACCCCTCCCTGAGGGAAGGAACAAGGGAGAAGCTGGGGGGTCCTCTGGCTGGGAGGAGGGGAGCTGTGTCAAGACAGCCCTAGATGGAGCTGTGATAGCAACAATACTGCCAGTCTGACACTGTGCCAGGCTCCCTGCCCAGCACTTCTTTCTGAGCATCAGCTCATTTACTTCTCAAGGGTGCTATCCTACTTTACAGATGAGGAAACAAGTTAACTTTGAGAATCAGGAAAGAATAAAGACCTTTGGCCTCCAAGCTCAAGGTTCGTCCTATGATACACAGCCTATTAAATACTTGTTGTAGAGATCACGGCCCACGATGATGGCAAGCGGTGAGCTGTGGTGCTGGGAATGTTTCCAAAAAGGCACTGTGCCTCCCGGCTTCCCTCTGGACACCAGCAGAGACAGAGGCAGAAAGGAAGGGACAGCAGGAGAAGAGGGAAGGGAGGAGAGAACAGGAAGGGATGGAAGGGAATAGAACAAGGCAGGGACAGAGAAGCAGGAATAGTTTGTTTGCCCTTCAGTGTGGTTTGATGAGGGCAGCTGAGCCCATTCTGTAGAGGTGTCCCCAGGGGCAGATGTCCTGCTCAGGATAAACACGGGGCTTCCAAGAAGACATACACATGAGCCCTGATGGGATGCAGATCCCACCTGGAAAATCAAATTGTGAGAATTCTGGTGGAGTAGATCCCTGTTGGAGAATGAACAACATAAAATAATAAACATTGAAGGAAAAGAGTAGAGAAAAATGCTGTAGACTCAGAAGTGGCTATCCCCAGGGGTGTCAGATTAGGATTTTAACTTTCTGTGTTCTGTATATTTCTACAATGTTTAAATGTTTAACAGGGCACTTGTAATGCTTTGGTAATTTGTATGACAGATGAAAAGAAAAATGTTTTCAAAGAGAGGGGTGTCCCTGCCCTCTATCCATCATCCCCTCCAAACTTCCAGAACAACCAGTGTGTGCCTGTAACTCCAGGTCTGTGCTGCAGGGAAGTGTTTGTGCACTGTCTACATACCATTACTTACTAAAGAGACATTGTCAGTTCTGTCAGATTAATGTTTTAGGATTGAAAAGCTAAAGAGTTTGTCCCTTCAATTTCCCCACTGTTGCTTAGATGTTAGTTTAAAAAAAAGATTAAATAAGGCCGGATGTGGTGGCCACACCTGTAACCCCAGCACTGGGGGAGGCTGGGGAAGGAAGATCTCTTGAGCCCAGGAGTTTGAGACCAGCCTGAATAACACAGCATGTTTTGTCCCTACAAAATATGGAAATAGCAGCACAGTGTGATGGCACATATCTGAGAGGCTGAGGTAGGAGGATCAATTGAGCTCAGGAATTCAGGGTAACAGTGAGCTGTGATGGCTGCACTGCACTCTACCCTGGGCAACACAGTGAGACTCTTTACAAAAGAAAAACAACAACAGTAAGTAAAATAACAATAACAAAAAGTAAAGATGAAATGAAGGGGGAGGCTCAGCGCCTATAGCTCAACCGGCTAAGGCGCCAGCCACGTACACCTAAGGTGGCGGGTTCGAATCCCCAGCCCGGACCCGCCAAACAACAATGATGGCTGCAACCAAAAAATAGCCGGGCGTTGTGGTGGGCGCCTGTGGTCCCAGCTACTTGGGAGGCGGAGGCAGGAGACTCGCTTGAGCCCAGGAGTTGGAGGTTGCTGTGAGCTGTAATGCCACGGCACTCTGTCCAGGGGGACAGCTTGAGGCTCTGTCTCAAAAAAAAAAAAAACAAAATGAAGGGGGAAATGGTGTGATTTCATTTTATTTTTGTGACTATCAATGCTTAGGCCTAAAACACTTTTACTGTTTGTGACAGCTACACTGCTTGTCTCATCTTCAAGCTAGGAAAATAGGTTGCTGTTTTGGTAATTACTAATCTAGTGAGAAAGGAAGACTGAGTTAGATACAAAATGAAAGGTAAAATGAAAAATCTGACAGCAAGGCTGGATGGCAGGGGAAATGGGGCCATGGGGGAGGAAGGAGTCAGGAATCAGCCAGGAGGCTTCCTGGAAGAGGTGGGCATCTCAGGGAGGGAGGCTGCAGTGAGGGGCAGGAGCTTCTGGGGCCAGGCCTGCAGGGGGCCTACTTCCCATATCCCTGAGACGGAGCTGGGATCCCGGCCCATGTACGGAGGCACTGGCCAGAGCAGGGTGGCAGGCCCAACCTACTCCAACTCTGGACTCTGCCCCACAACTTCGGCTGACAGGCCAAGGGAAGGCAGACTGGGCCCAGCGTGTCACCACAGAAACCTGTACTCCCATCTCTCTCTCATAGCAACCTGTGAGTAGAAATAGGACCCTCCTGTCTCTGTGAAGCTGTGTGTTTGTGTGTGTACACAGGTGGCTGGGCTTTCCAGGCTCTGCCTCTGAGCATGTGCTCCACACCTGTCCTTGATTGTGTGTGTGTACACACACCCCTCTGGGCATGTCAGCTAGACCAGGCTGATGTTTGGATTCAGTAGGGTGTTCCTCAAGGGAATAGGAGCGGGGACAGGTGAGGAAGAGAGGAAATGGAGGTGTCAGTCGGCACTCTTACTGACAGATGAGCTAAGTCTGTGAACAGTGGGAAAATTAGGGGTAGGACTGGTTTCAGGTGCAGTTGGATCCAGGGACTAGAATGATGTCTTCAGGATGTCTGTCCTTCAGAGGTGGGAAGTATAATACAACCAAGATATCACATCATGGCAGTGAGTGGTTTCTACTGGGCACAACAATGAACTGGATATCTTGTTATGATGCAGATTCTGATTCAGATCTGGGTGAGGCCCGAGAGTCTGCATTCCTAGCAAGCTCTCCAGTGATGCCAATGAATGGCAGTGGTTTTCACTCGGTGTGGGGAGTGATGAAAGCTAGAGCCTCTCTCCAGAAAAATGTCTACAACAGATATACTCACACATTGTACATAATTCCTTACTGTCTCTGTGAAGTGAGTGGAATTTACCATTTCTTCCTAGAACTCCCAGGTTTATAAGGACTTGCCTCCCCCAGGTTCAGAAATGAGTCCAGAAAGGGGTACCTTCTCTGTGCACTGGCGGGTTGAGGCCGAAGCCCACAGGCACAGTGGGGAGTGAGTGCTGGAGACACACAGGCAGACCTCAGCCAGGGTCTGGCTGTACCAGGGATCTGCCCCCCATCCAGCGCTCTCTTTCAGAGTTGGGCTCACCCTGGTTTGTCTTTCAGCTGGAAGGTCTGGCACATGGAGGGCACACCACGCCGAGGAGAGTCCACCTCTCTCACACCTGTGGCCAACGGTCTGGAGAACATGGGGGCTGAGTTCTTGGAAAGCCTGGTCTGTTGCCTTCTCCATGTCCTGGCCTCCCCATCCTCTGCCTGAGTCTTGGACTCCGCTCACTGCCTTCCCTCCAGCCCTCCTCTTCGGCCCCTGCTCCTCTCTTTGCCTGCACAGTTAAGAAATTCCTATGTATTGTTATCCACAGCACAAAGCAGCCCCTTTAATTCCACTCATTACACATTTACTGAGCACCTACTATGTGCCAGTATAACCTACTCTTAGTCCACACAGCAGGGAAGGTCAAGAAGGAAGTGACATTTGAGCTGTGATATAAGGAGTGAGAACAGAAGCTGGATTTGGGGGAGAACAGAAGCCTCCAAGGCACTGGCAATCTCATGCTCACTCTCCAGTGGGACAGCTGAGGCATAGTATGCAGGAATTTGGAGCCTAAAATGACTCTCCCTGCCCTCCCAGCCTCCCTGACAGAGCCCCCTCCCCTCACTGTCCCACAGGGTTCACTTTTCATAATTCCATCTGCAGAAATGTCCACCCTCACCCAAACATGCTCCACAACCTGTGGGGTCCATGGTGCCCCGGAGTCAGGATCAGGATGCCCCACCTGGGACCTTCCTTCCAGGCATCCTCTTGGCCCCTCACCAGCCACAGCTGAGTCACAGGTGTCCCTCCCTTGAGCAGAACATGTGCCCCTTCAGGCAGGATGTGTCACAGCAGAGCCAATGCATGCTTTGCAGAACTTAGTGGGGTAGCCTTCAAAGTGTCCTGTATGATGGTCCAGTCCTACCTAGGTGCACTCGTGCACCTGGGGGCAGGGGCTCCCATCTCTGCTCCTCAGCTCGGGTGTTCCCTGCAGGTGGGGAGGCTGACTCAATGGCTCCCTGCTGGCTTTAGGAGGAAGACCAGTCCCCTGATAACAACTTGAGTCCCACAGAGGGCCAGGACTACCGGAGTGAAGCCAGGCCAGAGCCCTTCTCTGCATGGTAGGTGATCTCTGTGAGGGAGAGAGCAGTGGGTGGGAAGACCCTCCAAGAAGCTTTGCTGAGGAAGGAGTAAGTCACCTTCACAGGGAGCCAAGCCTCAGAGTGATATCCCACGGGGAACCACGTCTGTGGGGTGCTCTGACTGAAGAGACCCGGAGCCAGCCAGGCTTCCCTCTCAACCGGGGTACCTTGGGGAGCCCCAAGGCTCAGTTTGAAAAGTCCTGAACAGTGCCAGGCCCTGGTTTCACACAGGGAGGCCAAAGCTTGGACAGGGACAGGCTGGGCATGAACCCTCAGCTCAGACCCCTGATACCTCCAGACTCTGACTGAGGCCAAGGAGGGCAGGGGTGTGGGGAGGAGGGCAGGGGTAGGAGGGAAGGGCAGCAGTGAGGGAAGGCAGGAGTAGGGGGCCGAGGAGGTGGAGATAGGATTGGGGGGAGGAGCACCCATCTCCTGGTGGGCAGGGGAGGCGCTCTTACCCTTCCAGCTGTGGGGGTGCCACTGCAACAGAGCATCAGCTGAGGGGTCTGGGCAGTACAAGCTGCAGTCTTGACTACGGGCAGGGTGCAGGCGCTTCTAGTGTCTTCTCTCTAGAATAGGAGCTGCTGACTTAGATGAGCATTCAGGTCCAAGGGAATAAATGCAGAGCTGGACCATTTCTACCTTGTTCTGCAGACATGCCATGGGGGAGAGAGGCAGTCCTCCCTGCGCTTCTGTGTGAGAATAAGCTCTGCTTCCCAGCAGGCTCCCTCCCAGACCCTGGAGGAGGCTGGGACCATGAGAGGGCTGGTCAGAGGGACAGCTCAGAGGCAGGAAGGCCTGAACTTCTTGTGGGCCAGCTCTGTCCTGGCAATGCCCCTCAGCCCTGTGGAATGTCAAAGCCAGTGCCTGGTTTGCCCCATCACCCTTTTACCAGGGATACACCTTGGTGGCTTCCACCTGGTGGTGTTGAGGATCCCTACTGGGGTGGGAGTCTGAGGCGCCCCTTGTGGACCCTGCTGGCCCCATTCTCAGGAGGAACCTGCAACCAGGCCTGAGAGCTAGAAGTTTCTGCAGGGAGCATGCACAGCTGCTTCGATGGACCTGCAAAGGCCTGCTCTGCACTGGTGAGCCCTACCCGGGGACCATGCCCCTACCCCCTACCCGTGTCTCAGGGCAGGTAGTTCACTTACCCAACCATTAAACTATTTGTTCAGCAGCAGCTCTGGGCCATCTCCCCTGCTGGGCACTGAGGCATTAGTTAGCTGGTCAGGATTACATTCCCAGGGCACCGCCTCTTCAGTAAGGGAGGGGAACCAATATTCCACAAAATGCAGAAAGTCCTCTGGGAGCACCAAGGAAGGATGGAGTAGTCAAGGAGGACCACCAAGAGGAGGCAATACTGGAGTCTCACAGGTGGAGTAGAAGTTAGCCAGACAGAAGTGAGAAGGCATGCCTGTGCAGAGGAGCCACAGGGGAACCTGGCAGGGTGTGGGTTTTGATAAATTCTAGGCCCATTCTTAAGGCCAGGGGAAGCCATTGAAGGGTTTAAACAGGAACTGTCAAGGCTGAATTCATACATGGGACCCTGGAATAGGGGATAGGGATGATGGGGAGAAGGAGATGTTGAAGGCTACAGTGCGTGTGTGAGATTGAAGTGATGAAGGATGGACAGAGTGGGCTGGGGACCTTGGGGAAGCAGTGCCAGCTGAACTTGAGAGCTGCGCAGTTATGTGTGGGGCAGAGGAGACCCCAAGTCAAGGCCCCCTTGGGTTCTGCAGAGCTGGAGAACATGGTGGAAGAGGAAGGGTCAGGAGTAATTTAGACAGTTTGTTGGAGATACCACTACCAGGCCATACATGGGGAGAAGAGGTTTCCTAGGAACACTGGAGAATGAATTGAGAAGTGGGTCCAGGACAGAAGCTTGGGGACCAGCAAACAGAAGGGGTTAGCAGGACCAAGAAGTTAAGGAGAGCAAGGTGTTTCAAGAAGGTGGGAAAGATCAACAGTGACTTGAGAGGGCCATCAGGAAGAGAACTGAGCAGTGTCCACTGATTTAGGGACAAAAGGAAGTCACTGGTGACCTAGGATGCAACAAATGAACTGGAGTGAAGGGGAGGTGAGGTGTAGACAGCAAATGTAGGTGGCTCTTTGGAGAAGAGTTGTATGAGAACAAGGAGGGAACATGAATGGGCAGGGTGTATGACAAGGTGACAGGAGATACTTTGACCATGTTTATGAGCTGAGGGTGGGGGGAGCCTATAGAAAGAATGAGAAGGAACAGGACAAAAAGAGGATAGAACAAGGTCTTCTGGGCATAGAGAGGGCTCTGGGGCCCAGGGTAGAGGCAGGTCTTCCTGGGGGAAGTACACCCACCCTGTCAGGCTGGGAGAGCCTATCACAGGTGCTTGGGAGGGGAGGGTACAGTGAGAGAGATGACAGAAATAGCCCCAGTCTGCTGGTGAGCTGTAAGTAGACTACATCTACAGGCTCATTCTCCGAAGTGGAGTTGCTCATGTCCCTCACAGCGTCCTTCTAGAGAGTGTCCAAGACAGTGAAGTTTTCCTTTGGCAAGGCCTTATACTAGGGCCTTCTCTGGTCCCCTGGCACACTCAGATTTGTTTCTCTTGAAGAAGTGATTGAATTCTCTTTAGTAGAGAATAAAAATTACCTCTCATTCTATTTCCACTTTGCATGCATCTTGACTATCAGGAATTTGATCTTTTTTTAATTAAAAAAATTTAAATGATTTTTTTTTGGTAAAGATTAGATCTTGTCATGTTGCCCAGGTTGATCTTGAACTCTAGGCCTCAAACAATCCTTCCACCTTGACCTTCCAATGTGCTGGTATTACAGGTGTGAGCCACCACACCCAGCCAGGAACATCATCTTAAAGTATCCATTGCAATGTCAAATTGACTTTCTCTGTGTTTGGGTGACTTTGATTTCCTCTGTCTCTTTGATATCTTTACTGTGAGGGCCTTCACAGACTTTCTGGGAGTGGCTATGACAAAGATATGAAGCTCACGTCTCAGTGGTTAGTGCCTGAGTTATTAACAATGGCTTTCTCACCGTAGGTAGAGTTTCCCATAAAATGGTAGCAGTGGAACCATCAGACTGACAGGGATGGCTTCATGTCCCCTGTCATAAAAGAAGAGTAGGCCTCTTGCCCATTATTCTAACCAAAGTTCCAGAGAGGACTTTGATTGGCCTAGCTCAGATTATGGATCCATCCCTGGACCAATCCCTATGCCCAAGGGGTAGGGTGACCTCATCACTCCTGAAGTGGGTCCAGCACCTCTGAATTACCTAGGTTAAGAGGGGGAAGGTGTGGCCAGAGGACAGAAGAGTCTTGTCACCAGAGGAGTGAATGGGCTACATGGGTAAAAATACCTCCTAAGAGAAAAACTCAATTCAATTCAAGTTGGGGGGAGAGGGAATGAGGAAGGAGTATGAGGGACTTGGGGGATTGGGGTGCTCCCACTTAATGGGCACAATATAGGGGTGTATGGCACACCTTTTGGGTGTGGGACACAATTACAAGAGGGACTCTACCTAACAAATCAAATATTGAGACCTGGTTGTTTATACTCTCACATTAATCTCAAATTAAAAAAAAAAAAACTTTGTAATTTCTCCTGGGCCCTGCCTGGAGGCCTCTTCCATATTATGCCCTCTCCCTCAGTCCGTCTTAGCCATCTCAGATCCTTCTGTCCTTCCTCATCCACTTCAGCCTCGAAGCATAGACATCAAGGCAAATAGTCTTTTCTGGAATCCTAGCCCAGTGTCCTCCCTGTGTGAGTTAACTCTGGCTGGCCTCGGTTGCCTGTTCTCTATGTAGGCATCACTGTAGCACCCACCTCATAGGAGTGTTGTGAGGATTAACTGTGAAAGTGCATATAGAGTGGGAGCTCAGAACCCAGCGGGACTCTGCCCTTCCAGGCCCCCTCTCTTGAGCCCCTGTAGCCTGAACCTGCATCCCCAGCACTGCTCTGCAGAGCTCCTCTTGCATGTCTCTAAATGACACCGCCCACCAACAAGCTTCCATGTAAGAGAAAGGTAATTTTACAGTCCACAACTCATCTTATTTTCTGCTTTAGTCTTACTGTTCTACTGAGTAATAGGCACTTACTTAATTTCTGTCAGTTTAGCATCTCCCATCAGCCTTTCCCAGGCAGTCTCCAGAAGGCCTTGTCCATTGTCAGTCCTCAGGTGTCTACTGACCTTTCTGCTTCTCTGATTGGTCCTTGCAGATGGCCATAGACATACCCCTTTCTCCATCAGGGCCTATTCTTGCCTCCCACCCTCTCACCCTCCCAGCCTCTCATGGAGACAACGCCCTCGCTTTGAGGCCTGCAGAACCTGTAAGCATCCAGGGCACTACCTGTCGCAACCACACAGGCCCTGCTCTCTCAGAAATCCTGGCACCGCCCAGTACTCTACCCGGGAAGCCAGGCCCAGGGATCCTCTGCCTGCCAAGCCACAGACACAGCTGATTTTGACTGTGACATTGCAAGCCAGACCTCCCAGTCAGCTTCTTTGCTCTTGTCATGTTTTAACTAGTTTGGCAAAAGAAAACGAAAATGACTCATAATTTTTGAGATCACATTTTTCTTAATCCATGACTACGAGTCTCTTCCATTCTTCAAGGACCCCGGGTTTTGAAATTCAGAAGGCAGAGAGAGATATTTTCCCCTTTTCTAGTCTCTATCACATACCTTTCTTGAGGCATAAGCACAGATTGGCCCAGCCATTTAATGGAGAGAAGGGCAGAGGGAGAAGAGGAAATGCCAGGAAGAGAATGGTCATTGATTGACATTTCAAAGTATAGCCCTGGTACATATGTGTGCACTCCTTCATGGCATAACTGATTCATTCATCTGCATCCTCCATCCCAGCATGGCTGTGGATCATGGCAGGTGCTCCATCAATGCCCAGAGATTCATGCTGTTTTGCTTCATAGCCTCCTTACACATCTCCCTCACATTTGGTCAGCACTTTACAGTTTGTAAAGCCCTTTCACACATTCTGCCAATTAACTCAAAACAACCTTTGAACACAGTAGGGATGATTGTTATCACTTGTAGATGAGAAAACTGAGGCTCAGAGAAGTTGGGTGACCTTAGTGGAGTAAGGTGGAGTCTGTGTGTGGGATGCACCAGCCTGAAGAGGCAGGATCACCATCACTGGCCCCTTCTCTGTCTCCCCCCAGCTTACTCAGCCTTTCTGCTGGTTGCCTGCCTCCTGGACTTCCAGAGGGCCTTGGCACTGTTTGTCCTCACCTGTGTGGTCCTCGCTTTCTGGGCCCACAGCCTGCTGAAGAGGCTTCTGGAGCCAAAGCTGAGGAAGTGTGTCAGACCTCAGGGCCATCCCCGCCTGAAGGTCTGGGTTAAGAGGTGAGTGAGCTCACAGCTCTGAGGCAGGGGAGGTGGGGGGCTTGTTGGCTGGGGAGTCAGCTCTGGGGTCACAGCCAGGGCTGAGAACATTCTGGGAGCCCCCGGCCACAGTTGCTAGACAGCATCCTTCAAAGGCAGCAGCCATCTCTGTGGTGTTTTGCCAGTTCTTATCTGGTTTTCTGCCCTGGTTGCAACAGTTGATTGCTGGCTGAGAATAGGAATCGTCAGTCTTCTACCCTCTGAGATCCCAGCCCATCCACACAGGGAGGGCCCGTATCAGTGCCTCCCATCACATCACCTGGGCATGCCAGACACCCCTGGCGTCTGACTCAGCAGGCTAGGTTGGGGGCTGGGTACCAATTTCACTTAGCCTGCAGAGGACTCTGATTAGCCAGCCATGTCCCTGGACAACAGTATAGGAATCCCCTGGTTTCCAAACTGGATACCCTGGAGCTCTGGAAACCTCAGAGATGCCACAGGGCAGAAGAGGAATGTCGGGGAGGAGAACGTCAGACCTCTTGCCTCCCCATTTCAACCAGGCAGCTCTAAATCTATGTGTTTTGTAAATCAAGGTTTGCAAAAACAATTAGCTGAAAATAAAGGTTTCTATGGTTTTAAAAAAAGAGACCACCAATCTACTTTAGTACTCATGTTGAAAACTGAACTGATGACCAAAGACAGCCAGTGACAGAGTCAGGGCAATCCAGGGCACAGGATTTCCCAAGTGAGATTCATGTACCACAACAAAACAATTTGAGCCAGCCTATTGATAAAAACTTTATTGGCCAGACCTAGTGGCTCACAACTATAATTCCAGCACTCTGAGAGACAGGTGGGAAGATCACTTGAGTTTATGAGTTTGAGACCAGCCTGAGCAAGAGTGAGACCCTGTCTCTGCCAAAAATAGAAAAATTAACCAGGCATGTTGGCAGGTGCCTGTAGTCCCAGCTACCTGGGAAGCTGAGGCAGGAGGATCACTTGAGCCCAGGAGTTTGAGGTTGCTGTAAGCTAGGCTGACACCATGGCACTCTAACCCAGGCATCAGAGCAAGACTCTATCTCCCCCACCTCCCAAATTTTTCTCCTTTACAAATGCCTTACTTTAAAATTTTCCTTTCCTTTACTTTTTTTTGTTGAGACAGAGTCTCACTTTTGTCACCCTTAGTAGAGTGCTATGGCATCATAGCTCACAGCAACCTCAAAACTCTTGGGCTCGAGTGATTCTCTTGCCTCAGCCTCCTTCTTAGCTGACTGCCACAGCACCCGGCTGTATTTTGTTTGTCTGTTTTAGCAGGCCCAGCCCGGGTTTGAACCCACCATCCCTGGAGCATGTGGCCAGTGCCCCAACTGCTGAGCTACAGGTGCCCAACCTGCCTTTCCTTTACTTAATAGATTTCTTTTTTGAGAGTCTTACTCCAGATAGAGTGTAGTGACATTGTCATAGTTCACAGCAACCTCAGACTCCTGGGTTCAAGTGATCCTCCTATCTCAGCCTCCTGAGACAACAGGCACCCACCACCATGCCCAGCTAAGTTTTCTATTTTCAGTAGAGACGGGGTCTCGCTCTTGCTTAAGCTGTTCTTGAATTCCTGGCATCAAGCGATCCACCTGCCTCAGCCTCCTAGAGTGCTAGGATTACAGGAGTGAGCCACCGCACCTGGCCTATTAGGCAGAGTTTTCAAAGGATTTAATTTTACAATGGTCTTCCATTTATTTTTATTTTTTTAGTGGTCTTCTATTGATGACAAGTCATTGATAAGTGTTTTCCATTTGAGGGATTGATATGGAGTTTCCTTTAAGAAAATACATGCAGATAAATTGGATTTCATAAAAACTAAAAACGTTTGGGTCAGGGGCAGTGGCTCATGCCTGTAATCCTAGCAGTCTGAGAGGCCGAGGTGGGAGGATTGCTTGAGCCCAGGAGTTTCAGGTTGCAGTGAGATATGATGATGCCACTGTACTCAAGCCAGGGCAACAGAGTAAGACTCTGTCTCAACAAACTAAAAACTAGGGTGGTGCCCATGGCTCAGAGGAGTAGGGCGCCGACCCCATATGCTAGAGGTGGCTAGTTCAAACCCAGCCCCAGCCAAAAACTGCAAAAAAAAAAGCAAAAAATTTTTTGATTTAAAGGATATAATCAAGAAAGTGAAAGAGTAACCCATAGAATAACAGAAAAAAAATTACAAATTGTGTATTTGCTAAGGAACCTGAATCCAGAATTACAATCCAACAATAAAAAGACAGTTGGAAAATGGTAAAAGAATTTAAATAGACATTTCCCCCAAGGTATATGAGCAGCTGATAAGCAGATGAAAACATGGTCAATATCACTAGCTGTCAAAACCACAATGAGATACCTACCACTTCACACTCAGTAAGATGGGTATAAAGAAGCAGATAATAACAAGTGTTGACAAAGATGTAGAGAAATTGAAACCCACATGCATTCCAGAAGGAAATGTAAAATGGTGAAGCCACTTTAGAAAACAGGCTGGTCCTCAAAATGTAAAGTGTGAAGTTATCATATAACCCAGAAATTCCACTCCTAGGTTTCCACTCTTATGTCTATCTCCATACAAAAATATGTACACACATGTTCATATGGCTTTATTCATGATAGCTCAACAGTAAAAACAATCCAACTATCCATCACCTGAAAAATGGATGAGAAAATGCACATAGCTATACAAAGAAATATTTGGCCATGAAAGGGAATGTAGTGCTGATAAATACTATTATAATGATGAGCCTTGAGAACATCATCCTCAGTGAAAGAAGTCAGTCATGAAAAACCACATACTACATAAAATGTCCAGAATAGCAAATCTATGGAGAAAAAGCATAAATTAGTGATTGCTTGGATACACAAGAAGATTAGGGGTGATGAGCAATAGTTCAGAGTTTCTCTTTGGGCTGACGAAAATGTTCCAGGATTCTAGTAATGGTTGAACAAGTCTGTAACTATACTAAAAACCACTGAACCATACATTCTACATGGGCGAATTGTATGGCATATGAATTTTGTCTCAATCAAACTGTTAAAATATGCAAAATTGGGGGATGGGCATAATTGTTTATACCTGTAATCCCAGCATTCTAGGAGGTCAAAACAAGAGAAGCATTTGAGGCCAAGAATTCAAGACTAGCCTAGCCTCATCTCAAGAAAGAAAGATAGAAAGAAAAAAAGAAAAGAAGGTAGGTGGAGGAGAAAGAAGGAAGGAAGGTCAGTCAGCTAGGCATGACAGTCCCCCTGTAATCCCAGATACTTGGGAGGCTGAGGCAGGAGGATCACTTGAGCCCAGGAGTGTAAGTTTTCTGTAAGCTAGGCTGCCATTGCTGGAATCTAGCCCAGGTGACAGAGTTGAGACTCTCTCTCAAAAAAAGAAAAAAAAAAGAGAAAGAAAGAAACAGGGGATTTGATTTTGGCTTCAAGCCAAGATGGAGTAACAGAGATCAGGTTTATCCTCCCACTTCAAACAACTAAAAAACTGGAACAATATGTGAAACAAGCTCTTACAATATTGGACATCAGGCAATAAGGGATGGTAATCTTTGAGAAATAGGAAATAAATGATGTGAGTCCTGTGATCATTCAGCTTACTGCCAGGAGAGGATTTCTAGGCCACACCAGAGGGAAGGAGAAATAGGATGGGCCCAGCAGATTCCCTAAGTTGAAGAGACAGCTGGAAATCCAGGGAAGAAAAGATAGCTAGAATTAATGTTGCAGAGTACCAGAAAAGAGAGAGCTACACAGACAGAAAAGTCCAGAGATATATAGAGAGTCCTGAATTTCCAGTTGAGTTCTGGTATGAGGAAACTACCCTTGGCCTAGGAGAATCACCCAAAAGGATAAGAGGGAGTTGTGCCTGGAATCATACAGGGCCAGGAATAGTGTCCCAGCAGGATGCAAAAACCTCATAATTTGCAGGACATCGTTTATAGTATAGGGTCTTGGCTGAGTGGCAGGAAAAAAAAATAAACCCCAGAATAAATGTTTTCCAGACTCTGCCTAACAAATCTTAGACAAAACCTGAAAGAGTCATATAGAGAATCAGTTCACCATGGCACAACTTTAAGTGGGAAAACAGGCATGAGCTGAAGTCACTAAAGGAGGAGTGCAGAAGAGATACTTGAAGAAATAATGCTCAGAAAATTACAAATAATGCTCACGATTTTATAGCCAAAGTTTCAAAGCTCCATAGGAAACATGAAGAAGACAACCCTTCATAATTAAATTGCTTAAAACCAGTAGTAAAAAGAGATTTATTTTTTTTGAGACAGAGTCTCAAGCTGTCACCCTGGGTAGAGTGCCATGGTGTCACAGCTCACAGAAACCTCGAACTCTTGGGCTTAAGTGATTCTCTTGCCTCAGCCTCCCAAGTAGCTGGGACTACAGGCACCTGCCACAATGCCCGGCTATTTTTTGTTGTTGTTGCCCTTGTTGTTTTAGAAGACCCAGACCGGGTTTGAACCTACCAGCCTTGGTGTATGTGGCCAGTGCCCTACCCACTGAGCTACGAAAGAAAATGGTAATGACAACTAGAGAAGAATAGACAAAAAAATATGGATTATCAGCAGATTTCTTGTTGAAAATGTGAGAAAGTAGTGGAACAGTAAATAACAATAATAATAACAAATCCCCAAACCTGTCAACCTAGAATTTTTCACCAGTGAAATCTCTCCCCCCTAAAAAGAAGAGAAAATAAGAACTTTTTCAGGCATACAAAAACTGAAATAATTCTTTAGGCATAAAGCATATTTGTACTATAAGAAATGTTAAAGGAAATTCTTCAAAGAGAAGGAAAATGATACCACATAGAAACCTGGTTCTACCCAAAGGAATGAAGAGCCTTGAAAATGATAACCACACAGGTAAATATAATGACTTTTTTTCATATTTAAGAATTTTTTTTAAAACTTTTTAAAAAAATCAACATGTGAAGCAAGAATAATAACAATATACAAGTATGGAATTTCTATTATATGTAGAGGTCAATAGCT